CAAGATAGACTTCTGTTTGGAAACTGCAAGGTAAGTTTTGCAAATCATACACCAAATTATTGCTTGCTTTACCCATCACCATCAGGTGCAATCTTAAGCAAAACTTTATCAAAGTAACATGCCACTTTCCTGCATGCTGATTTTACAAAACTCACTCTCTGAATGTTGTTCAACATGATGTCATCACACTGTAACTCACTTCATTTACAGTATCTGTTTCACTTCTACTCACAAGCTAATATAACTCATTTCTTTTTTTTAACTGCACACAGGCTGCTAGACACATGTGCACAGCAAATGGAATCTGAACTTAGCTTAACAGCCTCATTTATTCCTGATGGTTTAAATTATTTCATCACAATTAATGACACCCCCTCAGCTTCCTGTGCAGCGCTGCCAGATGTTCAGAGACCACAAAGCCACTCTCTTCTTTGACGGCTAGTGACAAGTCGTCCTCTGAAGGACGTTCCCTCAGTGCACAGGCCGGATGACACCTCCATTGCTTAGCACCTCTCTACCTCCCCTAGTAACCATGGTGAAAGAAGAAGGAAGACATGAGAAACCAGTCAGCACATTAGTAAGGACAAATTAAGTGAAGCGTTCTGAACTTGAAGTATCTCATCTCCTCCTGCTGGAGTTCAAACCTGATTGTTTCATGAAAAGACAGACAACTGTTTGTCTTGATCTTCAAGGTGTGAAGTTTTCTGTGCTCCTTCAAAAATAACTTTTCCTTTCTTTAATGGGGGAAAAAAATAAAGGAGAAATTTAAATAGTAATCACATGGCCAATGATCTCTAACCTACAATTTTATCTCACTATCCTATCATCTTCAAAAGTAGAATGCAAAAAACCTGGAGTCTTAGAAAAGTTGTAGTCACATTTAGCTTGGGGTTTGGGTTCTCTTTTACTGAATGGGAAGATGATTTTCCCTTACAGGTTTCTTCTCACAAGTTTCAGGTATTTTTCTCTATGGAAGATATCTAGAGATCTTAGAAGGGGCAAAAGTAAAATAGTGATTCTGGACATGCTGAAGATGAGGATACACCATCATTTCTCAACATAGAACATAGGCAGAAATGGTAACAACTGTACAAACTTGGAATAACAAAACAGCAAGTGTTTTTAAGATTAAAAATTAAGATTGCATTTTTAAGATTAAAACCCAAGTAAGTCCACTCTGTTCCTGAAGTTCCATCCACTATTTTGAGCACATATGGCAAACATTCTACTGACTTTTTTTCCTAATTAAAAAGAAATTGCTGATCTGTGTCAGGGACTGAAGATCTGCTCAGTTTGCCAAAAAGTGTAGTCTTAAAACAGAAAGGACACCTGTGTTAGTCCACCTGATAGGAAGGTCAGGAGTTGGAAAGTCTGTCCCTCTGTCTCTCTCCCTGTTTTCATTCCTTTGCTTCTGGGGGGGGTGTCCTGTTTGTTTTGGGGTTTTTCTTCTTTTTCTTTCTCTTTTTCTTTTCTTTTCTTTTCATTTCTTTTCTTTTCTTTTCTTTTCTTTTCTTTTCTTTTCTTTTCTTTTCTTTTCTTTCTTTTCTTTTCACTTTTCTTTCACTAGACATTTGTAAAAGCAGACTTGGAAGGGAAAAATAATCCCCATCAATACAAACTCTACATAGCAGTGCCAGAAAACTTTTGAACATGAGTCTGGTTATGTGTGTGGTCACCCCAGAGTTATTTCTGCTAAGGTAAAAATTAGTTCATTCTTTAGATTACAAAAAGTTACTTTGAAGGAAAGTCTCAGAATTTTCTTAGAAATCCAGTAGTAAAACCGGAGGAAAGTGAGAGTTAATGCATCATCTACAGTCTCTAACAGACACTTTTTTCCATCTATGTTTTTTAAAGTGTTTGAAAATCGTTCACAGCACAGATATCTTGCTGAGTTTCTTTTAGTTGCTCATTTAAATAACTTCATCAGACAATACTGTAAAATGTTACACTTTAGCTTCAGATTCAGGAGGAGGAGTCATATAATGTGACAATGACAGGAACTCCTGAGGAGTTTCAAACTGGCATTACTTTTTCCACATAAACATGTGCATATATATACATATGTTTGTATAAGCTTATATGTGAAATACAGGCAAAAAAATAAAGCAAAGTTGCCTAGATATGTACAAATGGAAAAAACCAACCTACCCTGAAATGCACCGAGATTTATGGACAGTCACATGGACTTCATTCTGTTGTCTCTAAATGTTTTATTGGGGGGAGTGGAGGAGCTGAATAAACTTTAAACTCTCATGTAGGGATGTATAGCCTGTGTATCTTTGGCAGATGTGGAAAGGAGATGAAATGGGCAAGGGAGAATCGAATATCCCATCACTGCAGGTTTGTGAAGGGGAAAGAGCACAGCAAAGATCTCACATCTGGCAATCATTTGTCAATAGCTGGAAAGAGAACGGCAGGAAACTTTCTGGCTCTTGTAGAAGATGAAAAGACAAAAAACATGTGTCACACATGCACAGTACTAGTACAATGACTACTACATTTATTTCCCTGCACCACCTTTTTTTTTTAATTTAATGATCTTCAGATCTACTTTAATCTATGGTCAAAATCATGCAGTCACTTGACTTGTTAAAGCTGCAGTGTATGTACATTTTTCAAATAAACCCCAGGGCTGATGTTAGAAAATCAAAATCATTCAAGCGTAGGCTGCCTGGTACTTTGGGCAGGAATCCTTGTGGTTTAGTCAATAAACAGAATCTAAATGAAAGACACCGCAGTAACTAGACAGTACTGTTTCGAACAGTTCCTAACACAAAAAGAGAAAGACAGAGAAACAGAGGCTGACCAAGTGTCCAGATACAGTGCTACTGAGTCCACAGAGATCATTCTATTGCAAGCAGCATCTGTATTTGAGCACAAGGTCACTTGCTGGTTCTTAAAAAAAAAAAATATTTAGGGCTGTTTTTATGGTTCTTCTATAGTTCTAGGTTTGATTTTGTTTGCGCTTCCTCCCCTCCCTTCCCATGCCCCCTTATAGTTTTTTTCCATAGAGATTTGCCCTGCAGAAATATCTGCTAAATAAAACATAAAAGGGTCACTTTCTCTTTTCTGAGCCACAATGCTAGATTTAACTAACTCACAACTATGACACCGTACAATATTACAAACACTCCTAGGGAAAGCATCATTACAAACTACAAAAATTGAATAGCTACTGGTACCACTGGTGGCTTTTCATACCTAGATATCAGTTTATTCCTGTGCTTTTAAGGAGAAACTGCTGCAGCAGAAGCACATCTTGTTCCTGTGATTCTGCAAGTAAAAGCTGCAGTTTGTTTAAGCTGGCAAAATCACAGTAGCTTGCCAAATTATAAAGGAGCAATATCTCTGCCTAACAAGTCTGATCATGGTTAATTACAATGCAGCCTAGAGAGCAGCCACAATTATTCATTATTACAGGAAATACCTTATTTAAATTTTATGGAAATTTGCACTTGTACTTCAGTATGCCTGGGAAAAGAACTCCAGTCACATACGGAAGGACCTCAAAAATCTGAAACACTCAAGATGCTACCTACAAACTGGAAGAAAAATGTTGCCTTGATATTTAGATCAAGACATACCAATGGTGATATTTACTGAGTTAAACTGCCATGAAATATTGTTCTCAAGCAACTCTTTTTAGTTTAAGCATAGGAGTTGTAAACATCAGCAAAATTCAATTAAATGTATTTTAACTGAAAAAGAAAAAAACTAAACCTATGACTATAAGGATATAGGCAGAGAAACAGATAGACAGAGAGATAGATAAGTATTTTCATCTACAAACATGTAAATATTTATCTTTGTGTGAGGTGTTGCACAAATTGCACGCATCCTTTACAACTGGCTCATGCGCTCCTTGATATCCTCCACCGTGCAATGGAGTTTCAGTTTCCAAACAGTGGGAAAAGAGGGGCACAGAGATGGGGATGCTTTCGGGAAGCCCATCAGTATCAGCATATCAATAAGACCATATCATTAAGTCTCTCTGGCATAAGCAAGTGCAGCAGGAGACCAGGGAAGAAAATACTTCCACACATGTGGGTATGGGTAGGGAAATACACAGTTTACTAAGCACTGGGGCACAGAGGTTCTTTTTCTTTTTTTTTCCCCTCTTTTACTTTCTATGTGTGTATAAACAATTCTGCTGATTTAGCTTTCGTTCAGTGCTCCTCCACCAATTAGCTATATATCAGATGGTTGTTGTACCCATCCCATTTATGCTCTGAGCTACCATCTCACTCTCACTACAATTGCAAATATAGGCCTCAGAGTCTAAATTTACATGAATCATTATTCTTCGCAATGTAAGGAGCTTCAAAAACAGGTTTAACTTTGTTCTAATATTTCAATATCACAAAACATGACAAAAGATAACTCCAGGGATGAGTTAGCCCTGAAAATGGTTTCCAAAAACATCAAAGAAGGTGATTTCACCTTAGATCATTCTACAGATCAAGTTTGCAGCACAGCCCAGTGAACAATTGTGTTAGTAGCAATGGAATGGTGGGGTGATTGAGCAAAGGTGTTGCACCATACAGAAGCCAGGATGGAGAAAAGATGTGTTTTCTATCAGACAAAATTCTGAAAATTTCACAGCAAACTATTATTTCTGTTATTAGAAACAATCCATTACAGTGAAAAGCTCTCTACCAGGATTGTATGAAACTACAAATGGAATAATTATTTTTTGCTGCTAGCTCCCCCTGACTAGCTGTACATAAAGCCACACATAACAGTAAGAGATAAGTAACAGTGACAATATTCAACACTTAATAAAAGCGTTCCACCTTCAAAACACTGTCTAAACATTAGCAAACAACTATTCTACCAGATATATCCTGTAAAGACAGCAGGCTAACTATTTAAGCTGGAAGTAAACTTTAATGACTGTTACAAGTCTGCCATTCTGCTTGTAATTCAGGATTATATTTGTTTTTATACACTAATAAAACATTATATATGCACTCACACACATACTAAGATAATGAAGACACACTTTTTCAAAATTCTTTACTGTGAGGGTGGTGAGGCACTGGAACAGGTTTTCCAAAGAAGTGGTGGATGCCTCATCCCTGGAAGTGTTCAAAGACAGGTTAGATGGGCCTCTGAGCAACTTGGTCTAGTGAAATGTGTCCCTTCCCATGGCAGGGAGGTTAGAACTAGATGGTCTTTAAGATCCTGTCCAAATCATTCAATGATTCTATGGTTCTCTCTCTGCTCTCTTCTGTCCTGTGTAGTATTCTAAATAGGAAGAAACACCACTAGCTATCATGGCATCATCTCCAAGCTCTCCTAAGCCACTAAGGAAAACAAATAAGGCCTGGAGCACACTCTCCAAGTCCACCCACACAAACACTTACTTTAGTAAACATGGCCTCTATTGAAAGTCTCAGGTCCATTATGAACATAGTCTTTCTCAATCACTGCTTGACAACAGAGAGAACGCATTCTTTTATCAGAGGAGGCTCACAAAGTCAAATAGTCTCCAGTTAACAGAATATGTGCCCATTAGTTGATGTGTTGTTTGGTTTTCATCCTTGCTTTAACAACTTCTTTGTGTTGGTTTTTTTCTTCATAAAAGTATCAAATAGGGCAGAGAGAGGACTGGACAAAACCTAGCCTTTAAAATATGATGACTTTTGGATCAAGGGAAACATTCATATCTCTTTCAGTGCTGGCAATATTTTGTTATTTTTAGTGGAAACGATGTCAGCTTCCAACAATTGCAGACGCAGCTCACAATGTTCACTAGGCAACAACCAACACAGACTCTGAGAAAATAAGGTTCTAACCCACTGCTCTTCCTTCTGACCCACTCAAAACTACCAGGTCTGATTCTGCTTCAGAGATCCTTCCAAATGTCCAGTGAAAATCCTCTCCATTAAATGAAATAATGAAACATTCAGGTTTTGCCAAAATTCAAACTATGTGTTTGAATGTCTCAAGCAGTACTTTTCTTTTTATCATCTCAAGTAATATTTTAAAATTATTGTTGGAGTTATTTACACTGCAGGTTGCCATGCAGGGATAGTAGAGCTAAGACAGAAATGAACTTGGGCAAAGAAAACATCTTGAATGACTCTGAGCCTTGAGTTCTGCCTTCCAGTGGCAGAATACGTTACTTTATTTCGCTACAGAGGAAAAGTAGCCCACACAGACCCTTGTGAACTTGCAGTTGGGCTGCTTTTTGGGCTGTAAGCTATTTTGAATCACTCCTCTACAAGGCACACTACCACACATGCAAACTGAAACACATTGCCCTATTCAAGCTGCTTTCAAACAAACAAACAAAAAGCTGGTGACCTGCTAAAAGCCAGCGGCTGCTAAAACAAAACTGAAGGTTGTGTCCATTTTTCAATGATTTACTCTTTCTGGTTCTGAGCATAAAACAACACAGGAAACACACCATGTTTCCAAAGGCAGTGCATTGCATGCTTTTTCACCTCATAAAATCAGTGTCATGTGGATCTGTTTCTCCACTGCACACTCTGTACAGTAGTCAACATTACTGTGCAGGCATGCTTCTGCCACAAAAGCAGTGATAAACAAAGGATGGCTACTACCAAACTGCAGTTTGATTGCCAAATTAATATTTCTCACTTATAGACCACTTTGTTAATACTCTTTTATTTCGCCCCCTCTCTTAAATGCCTCAGTTTTTAAGTATGTTTTCTATTAATGTAGCATGAAACTTGTAATATAAGAGCTTTCTCACCTATTGCCTGGATCATGTCACTCCCTTCTTTGATGTGGAAGGTAAAGGAAACTGATTCAAGTCCAGGCTCTTCATTCTAAACTTCAAGGCTCTGAACAACTCTGCTTCTGGCTATGTTTCTGTTCTCCATCATATTCTTCTCATTCTACTCCCTGCAGCCAATAGTCTTCCTCCTCCTTTGCCTATTTAGCTACCTCTTGTCTTCCATGTCTTTTTTCACACCTGTGCAGCAATCCTCCTCTCCTGCAATCCACTCATCAATTAAAACAACTGGTTTCTTATGTAAAGCACAAAGACGTTAAGTCACATAGAAAAAGTTGTCTGTGTCTTATATAAAATGTCAACTGCAAAGCTCAGGGAGACAGTCACCTAGGGCCAGTGTTTCACACCTGGACCACTCTGAACATCAGTTTCAGTTGTGAAGGTATACAAGAGAGGACCATCTACTACTGCTCTTTCACATAGTGCTAAGTATACTAACTACCCTTCAATAAAACACTCATTTAAAATCATCGTTAATGCTCTAAAACCTTTTCCTACAAATAAATCTTTCTATCATTGGCTGTTACTATACACATATGCCTTATTTTTGTGTAAGAGTTCAAATAATTTTAAATGTAAATGATGCCTTCACAGGATAATATTTACGCTGAAACATTCTCAAGAATCAGAAAACTGTGATGTTTAGGATCTTTAAGAGATTTAGAATCAAACATGTGAGAAAGTAGAACAATCTTCTGTCCTTAGCAGCAGGATTACTGAGCAAATATTAAAAGAGAAAAAAGTGATGATCTGAACATAATCTTAGTCCCACCTGGAAGAAGAAAATTGAAATAAAAGAGCCAGACTGGGGAGTCCTTACTTTGGAAAATAAAGCTAGAACCAAATTTAGTTTAAATGTTACACCTTTTTAAAAGAAAAAGAAAGCAAAACATTGAAGGCAAGATAACTTTTTTCTCACTGTCATTTTTTTGTCAAGTATCAACTGTGCTAGACACCTGTCATGTCAAAAAAATTTAAAACTCTGGAAGAAAAATAGAAGAAGACAATTTACACTCTGAAACTGAAGGGATACTATCTTCAGGCAACTTCCTTCAGCACTCTCATGCAGTGATAATTTTGGGGATTTCTTTGAGTTTGTAAGCCTATTAGGAAGGCACCTACACAAGGATAACATGTCTCAAACAGCTTTGGAGATTTTACATGGACAGTAAAGTACACAGAGATGGCAAGGACATAAAGGAATTCCAGAGCTATCACAATGAAATGAAAGCAGAAATGCAGTTTGATAAGAAGGCTAAAACATAGTACCAGGTCCTATCTGAATGTTTATGCTTTCTCTACATAAACCATTAGTTTACACTGAACTCTTAACCTCAGAAGGACTAAAAAGTAGTAGTGACCTGATATACCATTGCAATATTCCAGCCTTAGAAGTCAGCTTCCTTTGTTATGGATAGAATGTTATTCTGCATAAATGGTGTTAAACACCTGCCCTCTCCACCATTTATTCCATTTCACAGCTCTTAAAAAAATTCATTTCAGAACTCATCTAAAAGGATAGAGAATCCATCATTCACATGAAATCCCTTCCATTTTGGGCAGTCTAGCAATTGAAATCCAAGAACGTATCACAGAATGCAGTCACATGTTTGAAATATTATGTGGCAGCTCAACATTAAGTGCAATGTGGCACTAAAACTGACCTCTTTAATCTAGAAAATGTATTTACTTTCCAGAAAACTACTGCACAGACAAAATTCCATGTTTGAAACAAAGCATTTGTAGAATTTAAAATTTCCTCATAGATTATTTTTAGAAGTATCTTTTCCAAGACCTCCAAAAGATATTAGATCCACTATTAACTGTAAAAAGTAAATTGAGTGGTTTTCTTTTTTTCCTAAGTGAGCAACAGACTTTTGTATGATGTTGTTGTTTTTCTTGTCTAGTCAACTCTCACATCCTCAGAGTCAACAAACTGTGTTCTCTTCAGAACAAGACTATTGGGGGTTTTAGCCTGATTAGCTCCCTGTACCACAGGAGCACAGTCAGTTCAACCTGTGATATGACACAGGTTTATTTTTGAGTCTTAAATCTCAGGTTATCTTAGTTGCCATCCTGCCCACTTTTAGAGTCACAGTCTAGCTCAATGCGGTCTGATCTAATAAGGACCAAAACAGTGAATTTCAAACAGAATGCAGATTAATATTGTATCATTATTCTCAGTTTCTGATTTTGACCTATATCTGATTTGAAACTACCATCCTAGTTTTCAAATGTCTTCATGGAGGCAGAAATCTGAATTTCCAGGCATCTGAAATTACTCCAATGACTCATTTTGACAATGTATTTTAACACAGTGTAAATAGCAAATAGCATGGTCTTAGTCCTGACTTCTTTTATTCGTCCTTTTAGCTTTCTACTTTTACTGTTCCATGAATGAGGAACTTTCTTCACTATCTTTTCCAAACCATTAAGTCATCTTTCTTCAGATCTCAGCTTTTTTTTTTTCCTCTTCAGTGTGGCCAGTTCAACCTCAGTGACTTTTTATTTTCCATTTCTGCATCTTTCTGTTCTTCCACAACTACAGTATCCTATGCAAACGTCTGTATTTATAGTCAAGCTTTTCTTCCTCTTATGCTTCAAGGATTCTCTTGCTGCTAAAGAGCTTGGACAACATCTTAAGAGACAAAACGCTGTGTGGGACAACTTTTCCTCCCATTCATGTGGAGCCCTTCCCACCTGCTGTTATTTAACATCCCAGGGTGGTTGTATACCTAGAAGACTACAAGCAGGAAAATGTGCATGCAATGCAGCAGCAGAAATAAAAGAAGAAAGCCAACACCACAGAACTAGGCAGATCTCTGTAAGCCAGCAGCAAGTGTTTCATAGACCATCAAAAATTAATGACTGTGGAAGCTGCTCCATCTTACTTTTCCACTCGTGATCATCACTGTAATTGTTCAAATCAATATGAACAGCAATACAAACAAATGAGAGCACAAAGTAATTTCTAGAATCTGTTCTTCACCTTATCTCTCCAGGCTCAATGGATTCCCTCCACTCCAAATTATTATATCCAATGATACATTCCATTAGAGTTCGAACTAGACGTTAATTTTCCAGAAAGGTGCTTTTCCAGAAAGGTGCTGAACTCCAGGATAGCAGATGATTAGTTTTGCATCAGTTTTAGATATACTAAAAGTTGAGGACTTCGATTTTAAACTTTAAAATTTAAATATACAACCATATACATCATATTTCAAGAACAAGGAAGACAAGAATGTTATTACTCTGAATGTTAGCAAATACATACCTGTACACACAGAATCTCCCTTAACACATTTTAGGTCACACAAAAAACTGTCAGATAAAGTTGATCTCCCAGGAATGACAAAAGTATTCTCTAATAAATGTAATACAGAAATGTACACTACAATCTGCTTTGTCATCTATTTTCCCAAGTGGTAAAAATATTAAAACCAGGTTGAGAACAAGTATAATTAGCCAAGCATTTAGTGTCTTTCACTTCATGAATTCTAGTATTATCCAGGTCTCTCAACCTTATTTGAATGATGGGTGAATAAATGGAATAAAACCCCATTATTACTCTGATAAAATTTGTACCTGAGCTGTCTTTTTTTCTTTAGTTCTTTTTATTTGTGTGCTATGTTGTACATGGCAGACAGTGTACGAGGATTCAAAGGCTTTGGATTCTGAGTGTCACGCAAATTCATAGTTTGACATTGTTTGATATTGTGCTGACTGCTACTAAAAATTTTGAAATAATGTTCAAGCTTTAATGATTGGATGACATTTGTGTGATAAAAAGCTAAATTTCTTTCTGTCAAAAATGCAGAAATGAATGAAAGGGTCTTTAAAGTGTCCCTCTCTGATCCCTGGGGCATAGCTGTGCTGAGA